GCAGGCAAAAGGCAGAACACAAATTTTCATGCTGAAGTTGCTGACTACAGAGCATTTGTTTTGGGTCCCTAATCTTCTCAGCTTGGTTTTACTCTCACTTACCCTGAGTTGTGTAGTTCTTCTCTGGATATCCCACACCACTCTCAGAAGTCACTGCAGTCACTGTTATGGGCAGATCTGCAAAACAAATGGGAGTGAAAGGCTAACAGTGCATTTCCACTTTAGCACCAGGAGTTCTGGGATTAGAACTGTGGGATCAGAAGAGGATGCCTGCATCCCCTTTATAAGGCAGTGAAAATAGGCAAACTGCAGAAATGAGTACTATGGATATACTATATTATAGAGAGAGTAAATTTAGTATACACTGAAGAGATACTATATACAGAGTATATATACTATATATACTATGTATACACAAACTACATACATACACACACGAGGTGTGTATCTATATTTGTATGCCTGTACACGCACCTGGAGTAGTGGTGGAGTCCCGTGGAGTCCAGGAGATTCCTGAGGTACCTCTGAACACCAGCTCTGTTTGGGTTTTTTCTGCAAGAACAGTCAACACATGTCAGCATCTTCCCTCAGTGACCAACACCGGTTTCCACAGCTACCGTGTGATTGCTTGAGCATCATAAGTCCAAATGAAACATAACCCAAGCACAGAAAGAGTCCACAAGCAGACCTACTCCAGCCCAAGCCTGAATTCCCACATCGCACAAAACCAAACTGGAAATCACAAGCCCTCCTCAGAACTGCTGTGCTTGGTTAGGTAAATGCTATCAGTCAGGTCTGAAGCAGCTTTTGCATCCCTTGTGTCTGCCACTGGAGACACCAGCTCTGCCTACCCTCAGTGCTTCCGTTCAAAAAACAAGCAAAAAAAGCCCTTTAGAAAAGAACTGCACCCAGAATATCTGTTTACTCTGCAAGTTAGGAAATGGCATTTCCAGCAGCACTAAGACAGGTAGTCTCTCCTACAGAGACCCAACCACCCTGCAAGCAAGCAAGCAGACTCTTCAGACTGGAGACTGAAGGAAGGATGTTCGACCTTCAGAAACTACAGGATTAAAAACTGAGGCATTTGGTCTGAAGACCAATATTTTCAAGATTGTTTGCCAGCAATAAACCCCAATGCCAACTGTTGGTGCCACACCCCACCCCAACACCCATTCCTCGCCATTGGCTGTCACCACTCTCACCCTGACCTGTGATTAGGTGGTGTCTCCCTGGGGTTCCCACATCCCTCCACAAGGCTGCTGTTGTTGTGGGCAGATCTGCAAGGTGAGGGGGAGGGAGAGGTTTAGCCAGGGGTTTGACCGTGATGGTGATGCTGGTGTGGCACAGACCTCTCCACAGGTGGGGCAGGAGCAGGAGGAGGCAGCCCCATCCAGTGGGACAGGAGGGGGATGCTGTGCCGGCAGTGTCAGCAGGTGTGGCCAGCATTCCTCCCTGTTCCCATGCTGTTTGCTCCAATGTGCAACTGCTGTGAAAACCACTGCGGTGTTTCAGCCAAAGCTTTGTCACCTAGGAGCTCAGCAGGCTTTGCCTCTTTCACAGGCCAGTGTCTGGTACTTGTGCTCGGCTGTGCCATCACGGGCTTCACAGCTCTGCTGGTCGACTTACCAGTCAAGGAGAGCTGTAAGTTTTCCACCACACATCCATCATGGAATTGTTTAGGTTGAAAAAGACCCCTGGGGTCATTGAGTCCATCCTATTATGCACTCTCGTGTGGAGCCTGCACATGTCAGAGCACGGCAGGTGTGAAGTGCAGCACGTCTGCTTGTCTATCAAAGGCCAATTTAGTTTGTTCCCCCACTGAATTGTTCCCCCACTCACTTGTTCCTCCTGACTCTTTGTCTAAATTTGCTGAACTGCAGTGGGCAGCATTACAGAGCCAGTGAGAACTTCAAAAAACCTACAGAGGAATCAAGAAGTGCTTGAAATACAAAACCTCTTTTGCATCAGGAAAGAGCAGTTCCTCAAAGAGGAGGAGGAAGAAATCAAATACAAGAAATAAAGAAGGACACAAGCTGGAGCCAGCAATAAGGAGTAGTAAAGGTGTTTGGCATTTCCTTCTTTCAGGACGGGGAAGTAGGATGCTGTTCCTTTCTACTGCTTAAGGGGCCCACAAGTTCTCTTCCGTGCTGTGGCTCTGGGCACTCACCTGTCACTGTCAGCTCCACGACGTCGCTCTGTTGGGCCACTCCGGCCCCAACCCTGTTTGCTGCCTCGCAGAAATACATCCCACTGTCAGAGGGCTGCAGGTTGTCCCACACCAGCTCGGCCCCGCTGCTCTGGAGCGGGACTTTCCCCCCCGGGATGCTCCGGAACCAGTGGTAGCTGATGGGGGGGGACCCGCTGGCCTCGCACGTCAGGCTGGTG